GCTGACTCTATGACTGTTTAACAGCCAAAAATCTGCACATCCCTGGTATAAACGATTGGAATGACTTGAAGACACTTTTTTCGGCTGTGACACTTTTTTACGACTTTCCAAAAATTTGTCAGCGGTAACACTGGTGCAAGATGCCGATGAACGCGAAATATCTGAGAACAAGAATGGAGGTTCCTGTTACTCAAGAAGAATTATAACTAGCAGCTTATTGTCTGGAAGAGAATTAAATAATATAAAAAAACGTTTTAATACACATACAACACTTTTATAAATGGACTAAAAAGTAGAAAATAATATTTCTCAGTCCCATAGAATTTGTTTTGATAACTTTTGATTTTGAAATTTTACCAAAAGTTATTATAAACAATTTATGTGATTGAAAATGAAAAACTTGGAGCGCATGCAATACAAAGCATTAGATTTAATTGACAATAGTCAGACTACATAACATAGACCTAAAATTTCTACAGAGAAAGTACAAAATTTGAGATCGATTTTAAGCGATCGTTATTCATATTAGGGATGTTGCGAATGTGGAATTTTAGACATCCGCGGATGCGGATGTTTAAAAGCTTTTTAAGAAATAATTTAGGTGGGTAAATTAGGTGATTTGGGTAAATAAAAAAAGGAAAGGTTAATAAAAGTGAAAATGAAAGTGAAAAAGTGAATAGTGAACCGGTTCGGGGAAAATTAAACTCATCATAAGACTGAATGTTTTTTTAGTACTTGAATTTAAAAATTGGAGCATTGTACTTAATAAAAACTTTTTGAAGGGCCGTATATCAAACCTGCGCCACTATAACAACCCGCTCGAGGCGACAAACTTGAAAAACTTGAAACTTGGCAAAATTGTAAATTCTTTTCGGTTGACACCAGTTGAGAGGACTTTTAGTTATATTTATTTATTTTTATTGGAATATTCCAGGGACCGAAAACAGTTACAGTTATTTTGGCCTAATATTTTTATTGCGCAATAAACGTCCTATCCGGATAATAAAGAAACCGCTTATCCAAATTAAACAAATTTGGTGTCATATGAAAGATGACTGAAATAACTTTTAAACAGAAATAACGAATGACGGTTGTCAGCTCTATTTATATTTTTTATAACTTAATACTAAAGAAATTTATGTAAATACATACCTGACCCAATGTTTGTTCTATGGCAATTAATTAATATTTTTTATTGAAATATTTTTCAATGTGAGGCATTAGCGCACACAAGGGGTGGGTTTTGGGGTTCAAACCCTCTCTAAAGCCAATAACCTCAAATTCAAACTGTATCTTAAAGCCTAAAATCCAGCTCTCAAGAAAAATCACAAGAAATATTATTTATTATTTTTGTTTCTTGAATAAATAAATATGAGAGCATTTTTTTATTGAGAGCTGCAAACTGATTTAAGAAATTTTGATAGAACAAAATTACTTTTCCATTTCGTGTGCGTCATTTTATATTAATTTTTCCTTTTTCTTGAGAGCTCTTAAAAGTTTAACTGCGAATGAAAACATTGTCCTAAAAATATGCAATGCATACTCACATACTGTTGTTTTTTTTTACACTTTATAGTATAAAAGAGTTTACCACTGATACGTACTTAACAAGGATTCGAAGATTTAATTTGCCAACTTCGAATTCGTTCCACTAAAATGAGCTGCATAATAAAAATACAAGTTTAGTTATTTTTTCCGGTATTCGCAATACTAAAAAAATTGGGCAATTGTAAAAAATCACCATCTCCATCGAAAACCAGAGATCGAGGAAAATGAACATTAAACTCTTTTTTAACATTGTTTATTACTTTTGAAAGTTGAGTGTACCTTGTGTTTATAGAACTTTATATTAAACGAGTAATTTTCAAACTACCGCACGACCCTTCAGGTACCCTTTACCGATAAAAAAAAAGAATTATTGAAATCGTGGTCCAAAGTTATGCGGTAGCATACATAAAATAAGAAAAATATATTCCGACGAATTGATAACCTCCCCCTTTTTTAGGTCGGTTAAAAATGTTTGAGTACTTTGTTAATTTTATGTAAGTAAAGCGCAATTTATGAAACTTCAAAAAGTTTATTTATTTATTACATACTGTACAGAAAACTTGCATAAATATCCTTTAAAGAGCATATTATCTGAATTTTTAGAAGTATAAACCTCTCCCAAAATATATTCCTGGGTGCGCTCCTGATGTGAGGCTTTCCTCTTTTAGACATTTCAGTTTTAAAGCTATTCAAGACCTCTCTCATTGGATACCAAACTTGTTTAATTTGGATAAGCGGTTTGTTTATTATCCGGAAAGTACTTTTATTTCGGAATAAAAAAATACTTGGCCAAGTTTAACTCGTACAAAATAACTGCAATTTTCGGTCCCTTCAATATTCGCATTCGCAAAAGATCCGCATTGATTTTTGCGAATGCGAAAGCGAATGCGAGTGTTAAAATTAATNCTGAGGGGACTTTTTTCAAAAAGTTCTTTAAGAAACTATTTTTATTCATAAAAAACTTCATTTTTGGAGGTATTTTCAAATCGGTCCAGCTCACTTAAATCTTAATACTTTTACGAAATATTCTGGTGGACGACTTAAAATATAAGNCTTGCATAAATATCCTTTAAAGAGCATATTATCTGAATTTTTAGAAGTATAAACCTCTCCCAAAATATATTCCTGGGTGCGCTCCTGATGTGAGGCTTTCCTCTTTTAGACATTTCAGTTTTAAAGCTATTCAAGACCTCTCTCATTGGATACCAAACTTGTTTAATTTGGATAAGCGGTTTGTTTATTATCCGGAAAGTACTTTTATTTCGGAATAAAAAAATACTTGGCCAAGTTTAACTCGTACAAAATAACTGCAATTTTCGGTCCCTTCAATATTCGCATTCGCAAAAGATCCGCATTGATTTTTGCGAATGCGAAAGCGAATGCGAGTGTTAAAATTAATCCGGAAGCTCCGCGGTTGCGAATCCGAATGCGAATATTCGCAACAACCCTGATTCATATACCCACATATGTACATGCATATGTATATTACTTTTCATATCAATTCAAGTCTATTACATGCGCCCCACGCTTTTCATTTTCAATCTCATAAATTGTTTATAATGACTTTTGCTAAAATTTCAAAATCAAAATTTATCAAAACAAATTCTATGGGACTGAGAAATATTATTTTCTACTTTTTAGTCCATTTATAAAAGCGTTGAATATTAAAAAGTTTTTTTTTTTATATTATTTATATTCTACTTTTTAGTCTTGTCTGTATAAAATTTTGCAATAGATATTAACATAATTCATGTATGTACATTAGACTGCATCACTCCCCATACAAAAAAAAATCGGTACTATTTTTCCATTGGAATTATAAAATCTACTATATTTTAAGACGTCCACCAAAATATTTCGGAAAAATATTAAGATGTAAGTGAGCTGGACCGATTTGAAAATATCTCCANTAAGTGAGCTGGACCGATTTGAAAATACCTCCAAAAATGGTTTTTTTATGAATAAAAATAGTTTCTTAAAGATTTTTTTTTGAAAAAATCCCCTCAAATGACAAAACCGTTTAAGCTTAAAATATTTGCATAAAATATTTAAAAAAAAAAATTTAAAAAAAATGTTGAATCGTAATGATGATGCTGTTTTTAACATTTTTCAAAGATTGGTATAAGAAAAACTTGAATAACTGAACCTAAACTCTTCCGATTTAGACTTAAGAGGTGTCATTGGAAAGGTATTTTCTCACCCTTTTCATTTATTTGCTAATAAACTTATTCAAAGGATGGAAGAGAAAGGTAGGAGAAACGAACCTCATTCAAAGTTGAATTAAGATGTTTTAGTATTCGAAAAAAAAGATGGGACACGAATGACGTTTCTTTTGGCCAGAAATAAAAACGGTGTGAAAATACCTTTCTACTGAGATTCCATAAGTCTAAATCAGAACATTTTTGGCCCAGTTATTCAAGTTTTTCGTAAATCAATCTTTGAAAAAAGTAAAAAAAAACAGCATAAAAAATCTCATTCTTACGATTCCGTTGAAAAGATTTTTAAATATTTTTATGCAGATTTTTTAAGCTTATTCTAATTTGTCATCTGAGGGGACTTTTTCAAAAAGTTCTTTAAGAAACTATTTTTATTCATAAAAAACTTCATTTTTGGAGGTATTTTCAAATCGGTCCAGCTCACTTAAATCTTAATACTTTTACGAAATATTCTGGTGGACGACTTAAAATATAAGTTTGGTAATCCCGGCGGAAAAACCGCAACTTTTTTTGGTGATGCAGTCTAATGTACCTACATAATTACGAGCACCAGTTAATTTTATTTAAAGAAATTGCGTGTCGTCCATTTCCGCTGTAGCGTACGTAGTGCATAGCGCGACATCTACCTCTCAACAGACGAAGTTGATGTCTAGACTTTTTTATAGGAACTTTACAAAGCAAAGGCTTTCTAGGTGTCTGGACACACAACATTGCAAGTGACTGGACACATAACATTGCAAGTGACTGGACACACAACATTGCAAGTGTCTGGACACACAAAATTGCAAGTTGATAAAAGCGTTGTAAAAAGCAAAACGCCCTTACGGGGTTACTAATAAAGCTCTCAAAGGGTCCTGCACCATACGACACCCGTTTTATAAAACTCTTCAACACTTGTTTCGCGGAAGGAATTTTCCCACATAAATATATGGAAGATACAAAATTCATTGCCTGCCGTGGGGTGTATATTTTTGAATTGAAGTTTCATGAAAGTCTTTTAAAAACGGTGTTTTGAGATTAAAATGTTCTACAACTTTTAATCGCAAAGCAGGCAGAAAATAATTCCAAGGGTAAATATGTAGTACTACAACTTTTTACAAAAGTAAGTTCGAGCATTGTTTAGACGAAGCCGAACTGACATACATATAACCGAACTTTTGATGTTTGGTCGTTCCCTATTTATTAATAATATACTTTTACTAACACCCATGCATTTACTTTTTTAATTTTTCTAAGGTTTGGTTTCAAAATGCAAGAGCTAAATGGCGACGCATGATGATGAAGCAAGATGGTACAAATATTCTAGAAAAAGGCGATGGATCTCTGGATTTAGATAGCATTTCGGCGCATAGTCCTACTTCGTTCATGATAGGCGGCGGCAGTGGCTCTCCTCAGCATGCACTTGAGTAGCAGTCATGCTCGTTACTGGTACCACACCGAGAACTTTGAGCTAATCACGCTTATCTTGTTGCTTTATTAATATCACAGTCGTAGATGTAGCTGTAGTCTAAAGCACCCGTTTTACGCAAACGCTCCAGTCCAATGCAAGGGGAGAACAACCACGGCAGGGAATCTAGCGCCTACACACGCATTCATGCGAATACACACATACTTACAAATGTACACCCATAAAGACCAAGTCCACATAAGTTTACTACACGCATATATGTATTCATACATATTTATTTACGTTTACTCATAAGTTAATAGAGTATACATAGTTGCATAGTATGTATGTATGTACTATACATACATATACATATGAACTTCAAACGAATTGTATTGCACGCAAACTCTATTTCGAACTGGGAATCAAATAAAATACATATGTCTATATATGTACGTACATATGTATATACTTACATCCATAAGTGCATGCACACATATGTATGTGCATGCATATACTTATGGAAAAACACTTAGCAGACCAATTACCACCAAACTTCTAAGCCATAACGGGAACAATCTTATGCGCGTGGGCTAATATTTTTGTAAATGTATTTAGATATAGTTAATATAGGTGATATAATTTAAACCAGAATATCGAAATCTGAACTTGTTATTTCTAGCACATTTGGAACTTAAAGGATACGATACACACTCGTTTATATGTAGGTACATACATACATACATATGTACATTATAAAACAATAATACATAACCTAAGTACCTTTACTACATATGCATAGATTTAAAAGTTCAATTGCAGAATATCAGGCAAAAGCACCCATACATACATACGACACCTCAAGTAGTCTGGAAAAATTACGTACACATAAAGTTTTTTTGCTGCGGGATCATGATAAACCGTGAGGACTTGCAGTTCAACTTTCGACTAAGTACCCGCACTGAGATTTCTGCGCCTCGTAGTACATCTATGTTTTTAATTTTTTTAGTTTCCTATAAAACTTAACTATATTTAAAATAAGATAATTAATACAAGTTAACATACATACATAACTCAAAGAAAATCCCGACCCAAACACCTTTCCTATGGCCGGAAGGATGAGCATTTGCCAGGCTGAAAAAGTCAAAATAATAGCGTTTTCTTTTATCGAAATAATGTTGCATTTATTCTTCCCTGCGTCAGCGCTGTCAAATTTTCGTGTTCTTTTCTCAGTATCTTCGCATGCATATTGTATGCCCTTTCTTTAAAATGTTGCACTCTGATACTGTTGCCATATAAGAACGAGACATTTTTTTTTCGAGAAAAGAGATCGTCATAGGACAGAGAGCAAGTGCAACCGCACACATCAAAAAGTTTAAAGGCACAATTGTAATCAAACAGAAGGTGTGCAGCGCAACTACCAAGCGTACTGTTGTTCCCCGAACGACCACTTCACCGATCATTGAGGATAGGGAGGAATTTACTAATGATAATAATAATGGTACTCGCCGACGCGGAAAGGGTAGCTTTCAAATAAATGGTGTGTGTCGATCTTCTTCTTGCGAGTCTTTTCCAAGATATGGCGTATGATAAAGCCCTCATCTATGGTGAATCTACCAGGTCTAAGGTCACACTGATAAGACCCAATAAGTTCCTTGATAGTGTACGCATATGGGGTGTTCCATACCAAAAGGAACGGGGTTCACACTTCATATGTTTGATTTGTTTCAAATTTTTAGGGTTGATGCATAAACATAAATAATAAATAAGTATGAAATTTGAGCTTGATTAATACATTTTTATAAACTTTACAGCACAAAAACGAAAACAAATCGTATTAATAGTTTTCCAAATATCTCGAGAACGGTGCAAGGAAAAAATTTGACCCCTTGGGAGCTGTTTGAAAACAGCGGAAATTTGGATTTTTTCCAAAACGATTATAACCCTCAGTACTCCTTTCTCTGTTGCCCAAGAAGAGAGGCTAAACACCTTTTGCAGATAGCACCTTTGTGCGTAGGCGGCCTTCGGCCGCACTTAGGGATTATAACCCTCACTAAGTAGAATTATCCTTTCTGTGTTGCCGAAGAAAAGGGGCTGACAACTTTCTGCGTAGGCGGCCTTCGGCCGCGCTTAGGGATTATAACCCTCACTAAGTAGAATTCTTCTTTCTGTTTTGCTAAAGAAGAGGGGCTGAACACCTTTTGCAGAGAGATTTCGTGGACATTTTTTTTGTTTAACACCTCAGCTCGGCAACTTGCAAAAAATACCATATTTCCAACCGACATTATTTTGTTTGATTCGATTCACGCGTTTGGGCACAGCAACCCAAAATCTTTGTACAAATTCATAAAGAGTCCCCAAAGATTGAGCTTTAGGTTGCGTTCGAGCTATTTAATAATTACAGCAGTAGAGCAACTCTGTTGCCTGTTTGACACTTTGTTGCTGATACTCAGCTGATGTTTTGCAGAGAAGTTGCACAGGTTAATTTCACAAAGTACCGTTCGAGTTAAAAATGGAATTATCTTTAATAATAGACGAGACTGAGAAAAGTGGAGGCAATTTTTTATTAAATATCGCAATCGCAAAGAGGAATCTTCTGTTAAAAGAAATCCTAAGAAGGAGACGAGTTACAAAAATCCTACGACGTATTCTTCTCCCACTTCCGCATGACCCGTAACACATTTGCTGTAAGTATAATAATTAAGAAAGCTTTTGGTTTCTGTTATAATCAATGTTTTTAATTTGCTTAGAAACTAATGAATGCTCTACTGCCTTCTGGTCAACGTTGGACACGCATTATATATTGAAACAGTCCCTGTACCTAACTTTGTGGAAGCTGAGCAACAGCCGAATTACATATCGACAGCTCTCAGATCGATTCAACGTCGGAAAGGGGACAGCTCACAAACTTTTTTTCAAAACCATTGAAGCAGTATGCTGCCTTAGAAATGAAATTTGTTGGCCTACGGTTACCAAACAGCAGGACGTTATGGAAAGATTCCATGCGAAAAGACCAAACTCGTTCCCCTTTGTTGTTGGATGTGTGGATGGAATCCACTTCATAATAAATACCCCGAAGAACGTGGCCTCTAGGACTTTACCCCAAAGAAATGATTTTTTCTTTTTTTCCGGCAGCATATTCAGCCTCCATGTCCAGTCGGCATCGTACCAAAAGTTTATTAAGAGCGGAACCCAGTCTTTCGCTGCAAAAAAGTAAAGAGACATAATAATCAAAACTATTTGCAACCTATCTATATTATAGATCTTCATATGATACGAAATAAATCACAAGTATGCTTACCTTTCTTCTTCCATTGTGTTGTGCAAACGAAAATTTTTTGTTGCCGGTTATTTCAATAATTTGCGCGCATTAAGTGTCAACAGAACGTGTGGATTTTGCAAGTGTTGCCACATATTTGCGCCGAACGTGATACTTTGGCAAAATTTGCAACACAGCTGCTGTGATTGCCATCTCGAACGCACCCTTAATTTAAAACACAGATTTGAAATTTCCGCGCACTAGTTTATTAACAACTTTAATCTGAAATACTCTCTTATGTGAAACACACTTTTATGTGTAAAACACGCAAATTAAATGGCGGGAGTTGAGCTGTCAAAATAACTGTCAAACAGCTCTTCGAAAGTTCGAATTTCCTGCTCCCAAATTTTCGGGGAAAATGCTGCTCCCTGGCAGATTAGAATAGGAGGATTTTGTTCTCGAGATAAGTAAAATCCGCGAGAAATGAAATCCGCGGGAATATTCAGAATTGGGCTGAATATCATTTTGAGTAGTAACCAAGGCGAATTTATACAAGGTGATGTTGATGGCGAATTTAGATTTTCGCCGCGGTACTTATTAATGTCAAAATTATGTGTTTGTTGTAAACAAGACGAATTCATATTACAACGAACACAGTATTTTGACATTAAAAAGTACCGCGGCGAAAATCTAAATTCGCCGTCAACACCACCTTGTATAAATTCGCCTTGGTAGTAACATAAAATATTTTAATTTATGTACAAACATGTACATCTACATATGNTCCCGTAATGCACACACATGCCAGACGTTGAAGCTTAGAGAGGGTCTGCCTCACCGTTACTAAAGTAGTCTTGGAATGCCAAGCCACCGCACCGTACGTTACTATAGGTCTCACTATCATGGTGTACAACCATCTGAGGATCCTCGGAGTGCACCCCCAGGATTTGCCCGCCAGACGTTTGCACACCATAATCGCTCTCGTGGCCTTGGAGGTGACCGCAACAACATACTTACCAATATGCAATACTCAGAGTTACCATGATGATTTTTCAAATTTTTTTTGAGATGGCATATTTTCAAAAACTAATTTTTTTATCAAAAAATTTGTACGTGAAAAAATTTTTCAAGAAAAAAAATTTTCAAATACTTATTTTCATAGAGAATTTTGATGTGATTGATTGATTTTTTCAAATTTTTTCCTTGCCCTGTTCTCGAGATATTTGGAAAACTATTAACTCGATTTGTTTTTGTTTTTGTGCTGTAAAGTTTATAAAAATGTATTAATCAAGCTAAAAAATTTGAAACAAATCAAACACATGAAGTGTGAACCCCGTCCGTTTTGGTGTGGAACGCCCCATAGATAGATCGGCTTATTTGTTCTTATAGGATTTCACCCTGGTATAAAAACTTTCTGTAAGTCGGCTAACTTTCTGACAAATTTTTCTGTAGCTCTTCCTATTTACATTTCAAGCACTTTGCACTCACTCAGCCTCTTTATTTTTGTTATGCAAAATACGTCCCGGTACCCTCTTCAGGCCCCTATATCGATCTCAATTAGCTCGGGTTGCGCCCTATCGCGGCGTGGAGCTTTTTCTCGCCATCCTACAGCAATAAAACTTTAGATAGGTATGGGTACGCATATGTATGTTAAATTGTTGAAAAGGAATGAGGAAAGAAGAGGTATACATACCGAATTTCGAAAAAAAGCTGTACCCTTCTATTCTGCGACATCCTAATGTACATGGACACACACCGTCGCCTGGGTAAAAGATTGTCGTATGTTGATTTCGGCAGGTTGTGGGAAATCGCGATTGAAGTTTGGAATGCAATTTCTCAAAAACGCGAGGATAGAATTTCTCCAAAGTCTGCAAATGTTACTAGTTCACAAATTTCTTAAATTATTTAATTTTTAATGTTTATTGTTAATTAGTTTTGAGTTTGTGAAGGATTTTATTTAGTAAAATTTTTCCGTAAGCGTTATTANAAAAATATAATATAAAAATTAAAATTTGCATGCATCGCTTTTTAAATGCTATAGTTGAAGTGCTCACCAAGGGCTTCTTTGCGAGCATCTAGGGAGCGCTTTTTTCTAACGACACACAATGTTAAAATACAAAGAAGTATGAAATTAGGAAGGGAGCGCTTACTGCTGAATATGGAGCGCTACAATAGAACTAATGGAATTCAAATTAATGTAGAGTGCACCCCATAGTACTATAGATAGATAGATAGATAGTTGGTTGGGTAAGGCACTGCGATCGCTGGGTCTATTGTGCCCCTAGCTCATCACAACTCCTCAACCAACCAAAACTTCATAATAGACCCCGGGGACAGTGAGTGTACGTGCTCCTCTCTTGGCCAGACGTACCCTATANTTTGAGATGGCATATTTTCAAAAACTAATTTTTTTATCAAAAAATTTGTACGTGAAAAAATTTTTCAAGAAAAAAAATTTTCAAATACTTATTTTCATAGAGAATTTTGATGTGATTGATTGATTTTTTCAAATTTTTTCCTTGCCCTGTTCTCGAGATATTTGGAAAACTATTAACTCGATTTGTTTTTGTTTTTGTGCTGTAAAGTTTATAAAAATGTATTAATCAAGCTAAAAAATTTGAAACAAATCAAACACATGAAGTGTGAACCCCGTCCGTTTTGGTGTGGAACGCCCCATAGATAGATCGGCTTATTTGTTCTTATAGGATTTCACCCTGGTATAAAAACTTTCTGTAAGTCGGCTAACTTTCTGACAAATTTTTCTGTAGCTCTTCCTATTTACATTTCAAGCACTTTGCACTCACTCAGCCTCTTTATTTTTGTTATGCAAAATACGTCCCGGTACCCTCTTCAGGCCCCTATATCGATCTCAATTAGCTCGGGTTGCGCCCTATCGCGGCGTGGAGCTTTTTCTCGCCATCCTACAGCAATAAAACTTTAGATAGGTATGGGTACGCATATGTATGTTAAATTGTTGAAAAGGAATGAGGAAAGAAGAGGTATACATACCGAATTTCGAAAAAAAGCTGTACCCTTCTATTCTGCGACATCCTAATGTACATGGACACACACCGTCGCCTGGGTAAAAGATTGTCGTATGTTGATTTCGGCAGGTTGTGGGAAATCGCGATTGAAGTTTGGAATGCAATTTCTCAAAAACGCGAGGATAGAATTTCTCCAAAGTCTGCAAATGTTACTAGTTCACAAATTTCTTAAATTATTTAATTTTTAATGTTTATTGTTAATTAGTTTTGAGTTTGTGAAGGATTTTATTTAGTAAAATTTTTCCGTAAGCGTTATTAGTCCACAATTTGGCAGCCACATTGTATGAAATACGACAAAATGTGATCAAAATTTCTACTAAATTAATGACACTTTATTCTGAATATCTCGGAAACCAAAGGAGATATCCAAAAATGGAACGCCATTTTTAAGATATTGATTAGTTTAATATGACTGCATCACTAACTAAATTTTTACCAAATTAT